CACTTGGTGATAGTTTATGATCTTTCTAATGTAATGCTGGATCCAATTTGCTAGAATTTTGTTGAGGATTTTAGCATCTATGTTCATCAAGGATATTGGCCTATAGTTCTCTTTTTTGTGGTGTCTTTATCTGGGTTGGGGATTAGGGTAATGCTGGCCTCATAGAAATAGCTTGGAAGAGTGTCTTCCTCTTGAATTTTTTGGAATAGTCTGAGTAGGATAGGTTTTAGTTCTTCTTTGAATACTTGGTAGAACTCCCCTGTAAAACTGTCCCGACCAGGGCTTTTGTTTGCTGGAAGATTTTTGATTGCTGTTTCAATTTCTTCAGTAGTTATTGACCTATTCAGGTTTTTTGACTCTTCTTGGTTGAGTTTTGGGAGCCTGTATTTTTCTAAGAATATGTCCATTTCATCTAGGTTGTCCATTTTGTTGAAAACCTCATAATTTTTCAATGATTAAAGTAGACAGATCTTTTGTGTAACCAAGAATTTATTTAGCATGATAATGGTTTGTGATTATGTTTTTTATCACTTAGTGATAATAACCAAAATATTTACAGATGAAACAATATGATAAATAATAATATATAATAGAACTGATTTAATAATAATCCAGTGGCACGGGCTATAGTAGATACAGAAGAGAACATGAGGTGTTAAAGCTGTGTGATGGGTACGGTGAGATTCATGACACTAGTTTCTCTATTTTTTGTATAGTATTGATATTTTTTGTAATAAAAGCTTTTAAAAACCCACTTGGAACATCTGTAAAGTATTTCTTTATTTATTTTTGTTGTTAATCCTCACCCAAGGGTATATTTTTCATTGATTTTTGTCGTTGTTGTTGTTAATTCTCACCAGAGGATATTTTTTCCATTGATTTTGTAGAGAGAGTGGGAGGGGGAAAGACAGAGAGAAACATCCATGTGAGAGAGACACATTGATTGGTTGCCCCCTGCATGCACCCCGACCAGGATAGGGGATCAAACCTGTAACCCAGGTATGTGCCCTTGACTGAGAATCAAACCTGTGACCCTAACCAGTGAACACATAGGCCAGGGCATCTGTCAAGTATTTAGATTTCAGGTCCCACCCCAGAGACATGGGATCCAAGAAACTACAATGTTAACAAACTCCTCCATCCTCACCTGCACCTAATCCCTAACATCCCAACTCCCACAAGCAACTGTTCTTCAGACCACACTCTGAGAAATACTCTGTTCATTTCAAGTGATAGTTTGAAATGGAGATGTTCTTCATTATAGATAGTTGCTTGTTATTAAACTTTAAAAAAACATTTTCATTGATTCCAAAGAGGGAGGAGATAGAAACATCAATGCTGAGGGAGCATCTTGCACACCCCCTACTGGGATCCAGCCTGCAACACAGGCAAGTGCCCCGATTGGGAATTGAACCGTGACACCCTGGTTCATAGGTCAATGCTCTACCACTGAGCCACACTGGCCAGGCTTGTTTTGATTTTAAAATAACACCCCTGGAGAAATCACCACTGCCTTCCAAAATGACTGAATATGTTCACTGTAGATCTCTCCAGAGGTAATTAAATTTCCAAGAAATATGTCAATGAACATATTTAGATTACATTTAATTCACTGCCACTATACACAGTGAGGTTCAAATTGGGATTTGAGGAAAACACAGAAGTTTTGGCTAATTTAATTACCTTCTCTGTATTTCTGAAATATGTAACACCTGCTTTTGTGCCCTCTTCACATTTTGCCCTCCGATATATCACCTTATTCAGTTTCCCCCTACCGAGAAAATCCCATGCCCAGAATCTAAGACGGGTCCATCCAGAGTCTGAGCACATGGTTTTTTGCAAAAGAAAAGGACTACTAGGATATATTTTCTCCAATTTTTCAACTCTGATTTAAAGGCTTCAGCAGATAAAATCGTCAGAGGATCGGAGTGCATCATTTTGAATATGAGTAGTTATGCCTCATATCACCTTTCCCTTTCTCTTCATGCACCCTGCCCACCCAATCTGCCTCCTACTTTTTTTAACCTTTTGGTTAGTCCTCACTAGAGGACATTTTTTCCATTACTTTTTCAGAGAGAGTGACAGGGAGGGAAGGAGGGAGTGGGAAAGAGAGAGGAACATTGATGTAAGAGATACATCAACTGGCTGCCTCCTGCACAGGGCCTTACTGGGGGCAGGGAAAAAACCTGCAACCCAGATATGTGCCCTTGACTGGGAATTGAACCCTAGACCCTTCGGTCCAGAGGCCAAGGCTCTAACCACTGAGCAGAACCAGCTAGGGCTGACTCCTACTTTTAAAAATATGTATAGGTCAATGCTCAACCACTGAGCCATGCTGGCCGGGCTGCCTCCTACTTTTAAGAACAAAACAGCCCTAGCTGGTTTGGCTCGGTGGATAGAGCATTGGCCTGCGGACTGAAGGGTCCCAGGTTCGATTCCGGTCAAGGGCATGTACCTTGGTTGCGGGCACATCCCCAGTAGGGGGGGTGGAGGAGGCAGCTGATCGATGTTTCTCTCTCATCGCTGTTTCTAACACTCTATCCTTCTCCCTTCCTCTCTGTAAAAAATCAATAAAAAAATATGGTAGAACAGATAGAGTTTAGGGGAGTTAACTACTAGAGGGTTCTGTGTTGTTCTTTTAAAAAATATATATATTTTTTAAAAGAACAAAACAGAACCCTCTAGTAGTTAACTCCCCTAAACTCTATCTGTTCTACCCCTTTCCTTCAACCTCACTAAAAGAGGAATTTTGCTCCCCAGCACTCTTGCACTAGACTTCCTGGTTACACCTTGCCCCATCTTTTTTCTCTCTGCTAAACTTACCTTCTTTGCAGAAGTAGGACATTTTGGCTAAGTTCTTCAGTCTTGTAAAAACATGTGTGTATTTGTATATGCCTAATAAAAATTTTTGGTTCTATCCGTTCTGGCTCAGTGAATAGAGCATTGCCCTGCGGACTGAAGGCTTCCAGGTTCGATTTCAGTCAAGGGCACATGCCTTAGTTGTGGGCTCAATCCCCAGCAGGGGGCAGCTGACCAATGATTCTCATCATTGATGTTTCTATTTCTCTCTCCCTCTCCCTTCCTCTCTGAAATCAATAAAAATATATTTTAAAAATTTTTAGATGGCTTGCATTTTTTATTTCTGCATTGTTTCATTTTTAATGAGGATTTATTTATTTCCTTTATGCCAGAAAAATAATATAAATTTCCATTTTGAAAAACCTGAAACAACAAAAGCCAAGTCCATGTTTGGGGTTGAATGACTGAACCAATTGATGTGTTTTTCTCACATCGATATTTTTCTCTGTCTTTCCCTCTCTCTAAAAATCAATGGAAAAATATCCTCTGGTGAAGATTAAAAAAAAAAAAGTGTCAGAACCAGAAAGTTCAGAGGTAAAATTCCACTTTCATGAGGCTTATGTGGAAACAGCCTAGGTCAGGGAATTCCAGTACCTGTTTTCAAGTCCTACTATTATCATTTCTTGGTTGGTTGATGTTAGGTAAGTTAAATTTTCTGACTTTATGTTTCTCCATTATTAACATGGTGGTAATCATCCCTACACAGCCTATCTTATTTGTAATGACCAAGTAAGATAATTGATATAAATGTACTAATATACATCAATATATATCATTTATCATTAACTCTATTACAATAGGCAGAGTCAAATATATTTTGAGAGGCAGTGTAAGAGAATAGAAAGAGTATGAGCTTCAGAGTCACACAGACCTGGACTCGAATTCCATCTCCGTCATTCATTGTGTGATCCTGGGTGACTTCACCTCTCTGAGCTTCAATTTCCTGTTTATAAAATGAGTATAATATTATTAACCTGACAAGACTGTTGTGAGGAGTAAATGAGGTAATGCATGCAACACATCTGCTGTAGGGCCTGACTCTTAGTACATACTCAGCAGATATTAATTCTTCCCCTTATTCTAACAAGTTGGGATCAGTTTTCTTATGCTCACATGAAAATCCTGAGCTTGTATTTCCTCAATTAATGCTAAACCACATTAGTAATTACCATCTTAGGTCATCAATAGTCCTCAAAAAGGGTGTTTACTTGCTGCTTTCTTGGGACCAAATTATAAGGTGAGCAGTTCAAATTGAAAGAGTTCAGCATACATATGTCCTTTGAAGTGGTAACAGGTTATTGCTGAGACATCTTTAAAAGTATTCTGTTACAAAATAAGACGCGAAACTTATAATGAATATTAAAAAATATCAGAGACACTGGAATACTGGAAAAACAATATTCAAAAAAATTATCTTAAAAGTTTTTGATTGTTGCTATCTCTTCTATTCGAAGCTCACACACACAAAAAAACCCAGAAGCTGGACAGGCTTTATTATTCTGTTTAAAGATGAAGAAACTAGGCCGAAACCGGTTTGGCTCAGTGGATAGAGCGTTGGCCTGTGGACTGAAAGGTCCCAGGTTCGATTCCGGTCAAGGGCATGTACCTTGGTTGCGGGCACATCCCCAGTAGGAGATGTGCAGGAGGCAGCTGATCGATGTTTCTCTCTCATCGATGTTTCTAACTCTCTATCTCTCTCCCTTCCTCTCTGTAAAAAATCAATAAAATATATTTAAAAAAAAAAAGATGAAGAAACTAAGGCATGAGAAGAAAAAAAAAGTGACCTGGTCAAGATTCATCAGCCATGAAGAAACAACCAAGAACTCCACCTTGATCTTTTGACTCCCCATTCAGTGCTTTTAAAAACAAGATTTTGGTTAAATACACATAACATAGAAGTATTCATCTATGACCAAATATGAGTTGCTTCTACCTCTTGACTACTGTGAATAATGCTGCTAATAACATGGGTGTACAAATATCTCTTAAAGACCCTGATTTCAATTCTTTTGGATATATACTTAGAATTGGAATTGCTAATTCATATGGTAATTCTATTTTTAACTTTTTGAGGAACCACCATACTGTTAGGAGGATCAGCCATACATAGTGGCTGCACCATTTTACACTTCCACCAACAGTGCACAAGGATTCTAATTTCTCCACATTCTTGCTAGCACTTATCATTTCCTACTTTATGTTTTTGTTCTAATAGCCCTCCTAATGGATGTGAAGGGCAGTATCTCATTGTGGTTTTCTTAAGAGTTTTGAAGCCTTCTGTAGAGATGCCAAAACACTAAGTAAACCTGGGTAACATCACCAACAGTTTAAAGCATTAAGATGCTACTAGATTTAATAATACACTGTAGGAGGCAACAGTACACAGTCCTTGCCTTCAAGGATTTTATAATCTAGCTGAAAAGAAAGGATATGTGCATTTAAAAATAAATAATGATGCAAGATAACATAGTCAAAATGATAAGTATTACATGAAGACAGAGAAGGATAAAATTATAGTAGGCTGGCTGATTAGAAAAGGCCTTAAAGAGCAATTTTAAAAGGAAGGGTTTAAATCAGTGATGGCGAACCTATGACACGCGTGTCAGAGGTGACACGCAAACTCATTTTTTTGTTTGATTTTTCTTTGTTAAATGGCATTTAAATATATAAAATAAATATAAAAAATATAAGTCTTTGTTTTACTATGGTTGCAAATATCAAAAAATTTCTATATGTGACATGGCACCAGAGTTAAGTTAGGGTTTTTCAAAATGCTGACACGCCGAGCTCAAAAGGTTCGCCATCACTGGTTTAAATTATCCAAAAGAAGAGGAGGAAATTAATTTTTTTATGTCAAGTATTATTCAATGCATTCTTTCAACATTTATGGGGCTCCTAATAAATTCTAAACACTGTGATGAGATTGGGGGTTACTAAGTCTCTCAAGAGCAAGGCAGAAAGATGGGCAATGAGTAGTAACAATCCAAGGTACTGAGTATGTACCCGGTGTGCTGGATCTTTTTTCTTTCTCTCCCCACCCCCGCCCCCTTTTTTTTTTACACATTAACTTTTTTATTGTGGTAAAAACGTATGACATGAAAGTTACCATCTTAACCATTTAAAAATTTTTTTTTTTAATTTCAGAGACGAAGGGAGAGGGAGATAGAAACATCAATGATTAGAGAGAATCATTGATCTTGTTGGGGTGCATAGAGACCCCCCATATATTTGACTGCCTTCAGATATCTCAGGACCAAAACTCTCCTAGTTGTTCTCAGAGAAAATTTCCATATTGATTTATTTCCAGTGTGATTTTGTTTCTTCACTTTCAAGCCTGGGTAGTTAGCCTACTGGGTTTTCCCAGGGAGCCTGTTTTGTAAAGGCCCCTTAACAAGTCTTAGAATTTTTTGGTTATTGATTTCACTGCAGCTTCATACACCTAGCTAATCTGGCTGGCAGTGTAGATAGTGCTTTATTTTGGTGAACACTAGTTTCTCACAATTATATTTCTTTTGTCATTCATAAAGCAACGTGACAGTCCTCCAGGCTCTATGGGCTTCTGGCCAAGCCAAGAAGGCTGAGCCTCAGTTTGCACACATGGCCATGGAGGCACTTTGAAGTGGACTGTCTGCATGTTGGCCATTAGAATAAAAAATTGGAAAAATAAAAACAAGAGAACCATTGATCAGCTGCCTCCTGCATGCCCCCTACTACCAGTCGAGCAATTTTACCATTTTTAAGTGTACAGTTCAGTAGTGTTAAGTACATCCATATTATTCATGCAACCACTCTCCAAAACTTTATCTTCTTGCAAAACTAAAGCTCTATACTCATTAAACACTAACTGCCCATCCTCTTCTCCCCCCAACTCTGGCAACCACCATTCTACTTTCTGTTTCTATGAGAGTGATTACTATAGATACCTCATATAAGTGAAATCATACATAAAGTTGTCTTTTTGTGACTGTCTTATTTCACTTAGTATAATGTCCTCAAAATTGAATCACTGCTTCCTAAGAGCCTACTAATCTATCAATAAGACTATTATCACCTCATTTTACAGTGAATCATAAAAGGAGTATGTAAAGCACATTTTTTCCAGACTATATCCATGCCCAATTTTTTCAAATGGAATATAGCTAGGAAGTTTGCCATTCTCCCTTGGGAAGGAGACTACATTTAAGAAGATAAGGCTGTTACAAGTTAGTATTTAGCTTTCATCTATCACCCATATGGGTTCTTACATTCACAAACATGTGCTAGGCACTGGGGAAGCAAAGAAAGATGAGTAAGGCACAGAATTCTGCCCTCCAGGATCTCAAAGGTAGCTATAATATATGATAAGGGCTATAATCTACACTAACAAAAGGGTAATATGCTAATTAGACCGGGCCGACCGGACATCTTCTGGACGTCCAACTTCCTTCTGGACAGTTAGGGGTGACCAGGCTGGCAGGGGACCAGTTAGGGGGCAATCAGGCTGGCAGGTAGAGTGGTTAGGGGCAATCAGACAGGCAGGCAGGCAAGCGGTTAGGAGCCAGCGGTCCAGATTGCAAGAAAGATGTCCAACTGCCAGTTTAGGCCCCATCCCTGTGGCAGCTGGACATCCCCCAAGGGGTCCCAGATTGGAGAGAGTGCAGACCGGGCTGAGGGACCACCACCACCAACCCCACATGAATTTCGTGCACCAGGCCTCTAGTTGAGTAATGAAAGAAGACAAGTTGAAATGATTAGCTTTCCCCCCCAACACAAACTAAGTAAGTTATAGGCTTCTTTAAGTAACATCTAAGCTGGATCTTAAAGGGTGGCAGAAGTTCATCAGATGGGAAGAGAAGGGACAGACATTTCAGCCAGGGGACCAGCATGTTCAGGAGATTTAGTAGCTGGAACTTAGAATATATGATGGGGAGTGTTAAGAAAGGTAGAGAGTACAGTGCTGAGAAGCACTGGAGAGGCAGACTGTGGATAGTTTTATTCTAAAAGTAACAGATAAATAACTGATTTTTAGGCAGAGGAACAGAATGATTGACTTTTTAAAGGAAACTGCAGGCCAGATGGAGAATGAACTGACGTTACAAAAAGCCAAGACCGTAAAATCAGAGAAGGATGTCAGTTAGTTAACCAGATAGGGTCTCACAGATTCTGCTGGAGTTCAGGATCTCCTATTTGGCCTATAAGACAAGAAACCTGATTTTCCTAATGCATCTAGCATGGAAATATACTTGAGGACTGACTCACAATATCTAATTCATAAAAGAATGTGGTATAAAGTATAATCCTAATTTACTAATATACGTTCATTTATCAAACACCTATAAAGAACCTTTGTGTTAAGCATTATTCTAGGTTCTAGGGCAGCCGTGGGCAAACTATGGCCTGCGGGCCAGATCCGGCCCATTTGAAATGAATAAAACTATTGAAAAAAAAGACCATACCCTTTTATGTAATGATGTTTACTTTGAATTTATATTAGTTCACACAAACACTCCATCCATGCTTTTGTTCCGGCCCTCCTGGTCCAGTTTAAGAACCCATTGTGGCCCTCGAGTCAAAAAGTTTGTCCACCCCTGTTCTAGGGACACAGCTGCGATTAACCATTCCCTGCCCTCACAGAGTTACATTCTAGAGTTTAAAATATTTTTTCAGTGACTAAAATATTTGTGTTTGAACCTTGGCCAGTGTTGCTAAATGGTTAGAGAGTTGACCCTGGCACCAAAAGGTCTTGGGTTTGATTCCGGATCAAGGGCATGTACCTGGGTTGCAGATTCAGTTGGAGTATGCACAGGAGGCAGCCAACCAGTCATCTCTCTCTCTTCCCCCCGCCCCCATCCCTCCCTTCCAAGTTCTCTGTAAAGCAATGGGAAAAATATCCTTAGGTGAAGATTAACAAAATATATATATTTGTGTTTGCTGTCCAGAGGATTTCCTTCCCGATATAAAGGTACCAGGGACTCTAAGTTGGTAATTAAAATGTTGTTTGGTGAATGATGAGAAAAAAAGAGAGGTGGATGATTTTATTCAGGAACCAGGTGAAGCCTAAGAAATTATTTATGTTAATAAATATCTTAACAATGTTCTTTGGGTTTATAATTTCTCAGTCCTGAACACGGCTGAATGAAAAAACATGGCCAAATCCTGGCAGATTCCTCCCTTACTGGGTTCCAGGTGAACCATTTCAATTCTAACACATACTTTCAGACATATTGGATTACAACTAATTTTAATTATGTTAGCTTCAGTCATTTTTACTATACATGACTAAATGAAGGCTCCAACTTCAACTATATTACTGTAAGCAATCATGTTAAAATTTGGGGCACTACTGGATTTTTTTCCAGTAATTCAACAAATATTTACCAAGTATCTAAGTGCCTGTGATGATACTAGGCTTTGTTACATGTTGGGAATATCAGACTGAACAAGACAGCTTGTACCTATCCTCAAGGAATTTACATACATTCCAGTAGTGAAGTGAGATTATGAAAATCACCACTAAACAACTGACCAATAAATTAATTGTGGTGTAATGAAGGAAAGGGGCAAGAGAATGTTATAATAGCCAAGAGAGAGATGAAAAAATCACCTGGACTAGGCTAGTGGCATTGGAGATAGAAATGGTTGGATTTGATTTTTATTTTGAACACAGAATCAAGATTTGATAATGAACTGAATGAGGGTGAGGAAAAGGAAGGACTCAAGTTAACTCCTGGGTTTCTGACTTAAGCAACTGGGCAGGCAGTGCCCTTGAGATGAAGAAGACTTGCAAGAGGAAATACCCAGAGTTTTAAATACAGAAACTTTGAGATCTCAACATGCAAATGTAGATAAGTAGAGAAGTAGGCACTTGAATATGTGAGATTGAAAGGTTTGGTTTGAAAATATGGATTTGGTAATCACTGACATAATGACAGTATTTGGAGATAGTATTTTCATTAGAGTATATATATAACCTAGTCAACTAGATTAGAAATGCTGATTCCTACATCTCCTCAGTGACACATTTTCTCAGAAATCATTTCTACATATGACTAGTTAAGAATTCATTCCTACTAGTTTAGTTCTCAAAGGATAACTATTCAAGACTTCTTTGGGGGATCCTCACTATACTTTCTACTACATGAACCCAAAGATAAGTTCAATTTCAGAGTTACCAGTGCTTTTCATTAATATCTCAATGACTTGCTTTTTTTTTTTTTTGTCTCTCACCAAAGCTAACTCTTAAAGGCCTCATATAATTAGGTGCTCATGGATCAAAAGGGTTGAATAGGTCTGGATTTCTATGCAGATTAGAATCTCTATTTAATTAAGGTTTCTGTGAGTTAAATATTAATTACAAGGATGTATAGACTTGCTTACCAAGTAGAAAGAGTACTGGACTAAGACTTAAGAGATCTGAGTTGTAGTTCAAGTACTATAACTATTTTAAGTCACAGCCCCTATAGGCCTGCTATGTTATGGGTCAAGTGAAAAGACTATGGAATATTTTAAAGACTATGAAAATACAAAAGTTAGTTTACAATTGAAGACTTATAACCCTTAGCTTACTATTGGGCAGCTGGAGATCTGGGGTGGGGCTGAGCATCAAGAATGGCCCAGAGTAAAGATTCCAGTAGTCTGTTTCTGGATTTCTCACTAATTTTTGTGCACTTCATAACTTGGCTTCTGTGTCTATAAAACAAGAAAATCACAATGATTTAACTCATCATTACGGGAAGAAATTAATAAATGCTTATGTTTTGCAGCGATTCCTAGATGAAAGAGGTTAGAAAAACACAAATGATTTGTGTTGATGTTCCTATTAGCTTAGTCTAAGTAAGATCTATCTCCTGGAAAAGCTTAGTTAGCTTCCATTGCTTTGTGACTTGCCAACACCTCAGGGAATTTTGGCTTTTCCTGGGGAAAAAATTACTACCTTTGGGGAAATCTCTGAAGAAAGTCTTGCACGTAGCCGGTTTAAGGAGGTCATGCCTGGTACCATGCTGTAAAGGAAAATAAATCTTTTCACAAAATTGATCAAGATAATTTGCTAATCATACCAGCATTTCCCAAACAGGGAATTACCTAACACAAGCCAAATCCTGTACATTCTTTCAGCACCTTTTTTTCTTTTTTTTTAGTTCTGTTTGTTAATCCTCACCTGAGGATATTTTTCCATTGAGAGTGGAAGAGGGAAAGACAGAGAAACATTTATGTGAGAGAAACACATAGATTGGTTGCCTCCGGCCTGGGGAAGAGCCTGCAACCGAGGTACCAGCCCTTGACCGATATCAAACCCGGGACCCTCTGGGACACAGGCCACGCTCTAACCACTGAGCCAATCTAGCTAGTGCTCAGCACCCTCTTTACGAGATGCCCACTGTTCCTCATGCTGTCTCCCCTTGCAGGAAACAAACCCAACTTTGTTCAGCCATAGGGGCGTTCGCGGCGGTCTTTGGTGGAGGACATTAACAGAGCGAGAGCTCCCTAAAGGGTAGATGCTACTATGCCTCAAGGGATCTTCATGATGCACCCAGCGCGTTCATGCAGAGACTTCATAAACAAGTGTTTGAGGTTCCCGACCGTCCGCCTCTGGCCAGGCCGTTTCTCCTCTGGGTACGTCTTTTCTCTTAGGTTTGCGACCTCCCGAGTTGAAATCCAACATGTTAGGTTAAATTTCCCATGAAGTAAAACCCCCTCGTGAGGTGAGTACCTCCAGCTCCAATTTAGAATTCCTCAAACACTAAAACACCCCAAAGGGACACGGTACAGGTAATAGGAAAATTAAAGCCCCAACGGTCCACATTACTGTTTTACCCCTCACCCTAACCCAGGGGAAAGGACCCTGAATTCACTGTACAAGCAGACGCTCTCCTCCGCGAAAGGATTTGAAGGAAAAGTCACCACAGCAAATCCGAACCTTCCCGGAAGTCTTACTCAGACGTCACGCATACGCAGGGGTCGCTCCGAGGCCGCCGCGCAATTGCCCGCCTCCTCTAAGAGGACTACAAGTCCCGGCGTGCCTCGAGATGCGGCGTCGCCGCGTATCTCGCGCCAGACAGCGCGTTAGGACAGCTCCTCCGCGCGCCTGCGCCGTGACGGGCTCTGCGCAGGCGCATTTTCAACGCTTGGGAGTCGAGGGCGGGGTATCGTCCCTTTCGCTGATGCAAGAGCTTAGTGCGGTTGTGGGAGAGGTGTTGGTGAGATCTCTACCGCGGCTGAGGCCTGGGGCTAACCTGTCCGACTTCTCGTCCGTGCGGATCCTACTCGAGCCGCAGCCATGTCCGGAGACGAGGTGAGGGCCTAACCCTGGCGTTAGGGCTGGGGACTGAGGCGGGGAGCCGAACCCATCCCCGTGTGGGAGACCGGGTCTGCGGCCTAGCGCCGGCCGCCATGTGGGACAGCCGGGCCTAGGCGGCCCGGAGCAGTAGAGCCAGAGAGAACTCCGGAGCCGCGGGCTTAGCTGCGTCCCGCTCTCCTCAGGGCGGCGGTGCGGAAGCCGGCTTTTCCGGAATGGAGGGTATATTGAGTCGCCCACCTAGAATGGGGCTTGAATGCCGGTTAATGTCCCAACTGAACGAGATTGGGGCTGGCGACCCCTGCATTCCTCTCGATTTGACACTGCGGCTCTTACACTCCTCGCCGGGGGTGGCGAGGGGAGTCTCCCTGAGCTCCGGTGGAGCGCCCTCGTTGAAAACTTTTGCAGGCTGGCTTTTCCTGGTCGGTATCCGCCGTTCTCATCTCGAGCACTATTTCTTAAGAAGTCCAGAGGGTCGGGGAGATAGGATGAGAGGTGAAGATGCTTCAGCCTCAAAAAGTGCGTAACTTTGGAAAGTTTTGAGGTGGAGTCCCTGAGTTTTCCTTCACGGAGTTCACAGCGACGAGAGCGGGAAGTCCGGGCTGCGAAGCTGGCCGGGCCTTTTTCTACCCTCGTGCTTGTACCTCAGCAAATTTCCTCAAATCCCTTCTGGCCAAATCTATCCCGGTTCAAGTGAAATCAAACGGCTTAAAATGAAATTGGATTTTAGGTGTTGTCAGTAGGTATTCGTTAACCCTGGAGGGAGACCTACCGCTTCCCGGCCAGCTCTACCCACCACAATAAAGGGCTCTTGACTTTGTAATTCATTTCTGTCAACATTCGAGTGCTTGGTCCAGAGGGCCTTGGAGAGAAGGAAGAGGAAAAATCCGAGGCTTTTTGGAGCGCTGGCTTCGGAGGTAGCCCTTGAACGACCCTTAGCATTTCCTCTTGTGATGGAAAGGCTGATCTTAGGGTGAGCGGGGGGTTAAGGCGGCAAGTAAGAGGGCTCACGGAAAGTAGACTCTCCTCTGATTTGGTTAGCGTCAATCCCTTGAAATGTGGTTAGTGGCCAGTTCATGGAGAGGTTTGAAGACCAAATTAAGGAATTTTGGATTTATTCTGGAGGGGACTCCAATCCCTCATTTGACTTCCACAGTAATCCTGTAAGATAAGTATTACTGTTAGCCCCATTTTATGGATGAGAAAACTGAGGCTTTGAGTGTGGTATCATGCCCATGATCAGAGAGTAAGTGGCAGAGCCAGTAGTAGAATTCCAGATCTCGGTAATATTGCCTACATCTAGATTACCGGGAGGGAGGCTCTTGCTCTCTTAGGAGAAACTGAGAGTCTGAAGGTAGTAGATGGTCCTTGCTTGGAGGTCATGGTAGACATTGCTCTGGGCTACTGCATTTCAAAAGTTCTGAGAGTGGCAATGTTTCACGTTTGTTTTTTCTACATATTTTCTAAGGTTTTCATAACCTTTAAAAATAAAGCACTTATGTAGTACAAAGTACTGTGGGGTGCTTTTTGTGTGGTTTCGATGGTAAAGTGCTCACAAGTGATACAGGGGAGGTAAGAGAGATCAACTAGTTTCTACAGGAGATAGAAAGCCATCAACAGAGAGATTTGTGGTACCGGAGGATTCAGTTTTAGCAGTGGGATCAGGTTTTGAAGGAAGTGGAATATGGCAGAACCAGCATTCCAGTAGATAACTTTTGGAAGCCCATAAAATAATAAGTAGCTTGGCACTTTTTAGGCCTACCAGTCCAACTTCATTTTATAGAACTTGCCCAAGATCACATAGCAAGTTAATGGGACTAAAACCAGCCTTTGACTTCCACTCTGGAGGGATGTGAAGGTTCTGGTTTCTCCAGTATTATTGACTAGAAAAGTATTCTTAGGCCAAGCCTTAATTTGTGACTACTTTACAGACAAGCAAAAATTTCTGCATGGAAACAATGAAAGTAAGCTGTACACAGTTCTTTTTTATTTTAGAGAAAGGAGGGAAGAGAGAGAAACATCAGTTTGTTGTCCCACTTATCTATGCATTCATTGGTTGATTCTTGTATGTGCCCTGACCAGGGGATCGAATCCACAATCTTGGCTCATAGGAATGATCCTCTAACCAACTGAGCAACCCGGCCAGGGCTGTACACATTTCTTTTTATACCTGATAATTAAGCCAGAATTCACCACAACATAGCCTTTTTAACCTAGTGGAACCAAGACCTTTAAAAAGCAGTATTTGAGAAATACGGGTGATGCCTGTAAGGAAAAATCCTCTAATCTGTAGGCATTCATTATTTTCCAGACCAATTTTTTTAAAAGTGCTGTCAATAGTTAAGATTGCTTATTACTAGATCCTGTTCACTAAGTGTCAGAACAGTGGGTTTTATACAACACAGTAAGGTAGTTTACAAAAGAAGCTTTAAGCTAAAGAAGTTTTGTGTGTTGTACTAAGTGTACAGAACGCAGAAGAATACTAAGAGAAATCAAAATCTAGAATCATATCACCTAGAGATAACAACAGTCTTAAATTGCTTTTAAGTTATAAAAAGCAACTTTTTGTTTTTCAGTCAAGACCCACATGGCCTTGTGGTTTGGGGGAGGTCTCCTTTGGGCACTGCTTTTGGATCCCTGGTTTCCTTATTTTTAACTCTGAGAGGTGGTGTGAATAAAATGAGGGGATGAGTGTGTCTTAAGTATCCAGAGTCAGTAATTAAGAGAGATATTAATTATTTCAATGTATAATTCCTGCATGTTTCATACCCTTTACAAGGCTACAAATAAACTGTTAACCTGTAGGTTAAACATGAATGTTTTTCAGAGGATAAGGCACTTGTGAGGCTGTCCTCTTTTGATTTCAGGACCCCTCCCATCTTTGGTCTGTCATGCTGAGTAATAATAAATGTAATTATTATTCCAGGGTAGTTGCTACTTGGGAAAAAAAGCAATAAATGAATTGTAAGCCCTGCCAGACAACCATACTTATAGTACCTGGAGTTCTCTGTCCTTTTGCCAAATGTCCTTATCTCAGGAGTGCGTATGAACTGTAGCTACCTCCTTGGGCATTCCATGTAGGGTGACCTGTGGCTTAGTAGGTTAGCAGTGGGGAACTCCTTCCTCCTGGTTCTTTAAGTTTGCCAAATTAAGTTATTCAGACTGACTGCATTTCAGAATTACTCATTTATACAGTTAGGTCCTTAAGATAGGAGAGGATAACTGAGATGAGGCTATATCAGTTTCCACAATATCTTGCAGATCCTTCTCTATCGAGTGAGGACTAGACCAACCCTACTTTATTATAGACCACAGTTTGGTTTCAGTGTAGCTCAGTTTCCTTAATGTACTTAGGACATAAAGAAATTTAAGCCCTGGCTGGTGTGGTTCCATGGTTAGAGTGTCAGCCGGTGCACCGAAGGGTCACAGGTTCAAATCCTGGTCAATGCCATGTACCTGGGTTGCGGATTTGATGCTCGATCGGGCATGGAGAAGGCAAGAACTTACCTGGGGTAATATAAGTAATAGCCAGAGTCAGAACTTGAATTTAGTCAGTTGGGCACCAGACACTTCACTGTACTGTCATAGCAGTTTGTTGGGAAAAATGCTAAATTTAAGCTTGATAGAATTTGGACAAAAATTGGTGAGGAGCTTAGAGAAAAAAATACTTGATATTTGAATCCAATTCTGTTTGACTTCAGTGACCTCTCTCTTTCCACTGTACAGGAGTCTACCCTATATGTTGTTTAAACTGTTATGTCTAAAATACTTTATCTGTATTTTTTCCCCAAGTGATCAGTGCAGTCTACAACAAGGTATAAATTAATGTTTCGCTTATTCTCTAATGGACATCAGATAAAAATAACCCAAGAAAACTTTTAATGTTCAGCAACAAAAAGCAGAGTAAAAGGTTATATAGAAGTTTCTCTTACTCAGATATAGATTTGCTATGTGAAGGGTTGCTAGTGGATTTCCTTAAAGGTTTTTCTGAACTTAAGGATAATATTTAAAAAAATTTTTTTATAAGTCAAGTCTTCTGGTGTAGTAACCCCAGGTTACCAACCTTAAATAAACATGTATAATCTACCTAGGTATTGGTTTTCTCATCCACAAAGTTAGGGGTATAGCAAAGGTTATTACTAAGGTCCCTTCCCTATATTCCATGATTAATTCATCATAAAGTCTCCACATTTGCTCATGAAACTATAAGAGAAGTTCCTGTATCTTGTGGTAATTTACAAATTGGAAGGCAGTGCACAAGTTTAAGGAACACCCCCCTCCACTATCATTCCATGTTTAATAGTATAAGGAGAGTTGGGTGGCCTTGTTTGTAATTCTTTTTTTTTTTTGGTACTTGAGTGCAGCAAATACTCTTACTTTTTTGTTGTTGTTATTCCTCACCCAATGATATTTTCCCATTGTTTTTTAGAGAGTGGAATGGATGGATGGAGAGAGAAACATCGATGTGAGAGAGGCACATCACTTGGTTGCCTCCCGCATGCATCCTGACTGCAAATCAAACCCGTGACCTTTCAGTGCCTGGGCCGATGCTCTGACCACTGAGAAACACGTTGCGCCAGAGGGAAATACTCTTACTTTTCAGCATATGTCTTTTGAGAATACAGCATAGTTGGAGTGTGAAAACAATCACTTGGTCCCTTTTTTATTGTCTTTTAAACAGATGATTTTTGATCCTACTATGAGCAAGAAGAAAAAGAAGAAGAAGAAGCCTTTTATGTTAGATGAGGAAGGGGATGCCCAGACCGAAGAAACTCAACCCTCAGAAACAAAAGAAGTGGAGCCAGAGCCCACTGAGGACAAAGATGTAGAGGCTGATGAGGAGGACAATAGGAAAAAAGGTGAGTGGTAGATGTGAGAGAGGACTCTCTTGCTGAAAGGCCTGTTTCTCTTCCATTGTGTTTTGGATTCTGTGCATACATTGACCCCTCAGTTTGATAAGCTTATTCCAGTGAAAGTTGAGGCCATCAACAGTCTGTGGGCACTGGACCTTGCCATATTTCTGGTAGATTCGTTCCAAGAAAATTCCTACTGAATCCACAAGTGGCTACACCTTGCCATTCCAAGACTGATTTTCCAGTCTAACCTGTCAGGTCTCTTTTTGTATTTTAATGGTGATTGTATTTGAGTGTAGGCAGAAAGAAATAAGACCAAGATAGGTAGTTTTGTGTCTTAGCAAGTCTGAAAACACAGAAGAAATTAAAATTATTTAAGAAGTGTTTCAGTTTAGACACCAGCATTAGTTATTAACTTTTGAGCTTTGAGAAAGATACTATTTAATTATTAGAAATAAGTGATTCAGTAAACATGTCTGTTGAATATAAGACACTGCTGTAGATAGAACTGACATTCAGTGAACTTCTATCATGTGCTAAGCATCTTGTATATGATTAAAACAGACTTGGAAAGTAAGTCATTCTTGCAATAAGACAAAATGAATTCATAAATGGCTCCTTGAAAACTTTGTAGCAGAGGAATCCTAAAATATTTCTAGTGTAGAACAAATGGAAAATTTATTGAACATAACCCAATATTACTAAGTAATGGTAGATAAAATTCATTTTATTCATGTTGTAGCCTCATTTGATGAATGTGATAATATCTGTGAGGGAGATAGATAAGCAAACCAGTAAGTACCTCCTTTGGAATGACATAAGATACTATTGAAGCACCTTGGCACCCAATTGGTTGAAAGGGATAGATAGGCTTAGAAAGGGCTTCTTGGTGGAAAAACTCTAACAAGATCCTGTAAGAGCTATGTGGGAGGGTCCATAGCAAGGGTTGGAGGTGAGAGACCACAGGCATTGCTAAAGTGGAAGTACTTCATTTGGGCTGGAACCAGATATTATGATACTAGAGGCCTGGTGCACTAAATTCGTGCATGGGGGAGGGTTATGTGTCCCTCAGCCCAGCCTGCATCCTCTCCAATCTGGGACATCCCTCGAGGGATGTCCAACTGCTCCTTTAGGCCCAATCCCACCAGGCAGGAAGCCATGCCCTCCTCTGCCAGCCATCTTGTGGCCACATGGGGGCGGCCATCTTGTGTGTTGGAGTGATTGTCAATTTGCATACTGGCCATGACTAATTAGCATATCTGGGCTAATTAGCATATCCCTCTCATTATATAGGATGGGAGATGAGATGTAAGCAGAAGTGAAGAGAGAAAACTGGAAGGCCTTGGAAATTGTGTTAAAACCCTGACTTTGTATTGGGAACAGTGAGGCATGATATAATTAGATTCATAAATGTTCTCAATATGGCTTTCTAATGAGGTTTTTCCTAATTACTAGCTGAAATGTTGGTTTAACTCATAATTGGATGCTTTGCCTTCTGTTTGTTGTTAATTAATAATCTTAATTATGTCTTTTTAGATGCCTCTGACGATCTAGATGACTTGAACTTCTTTAATCAAAAGAAAAAGAAGAAAAAAACAAAAAAGATATTTGATATTGATGAGGCGGAAGAAGGTGTAAAGGTAGTATTGCTTTCTTATTGAAGGTAAAATTTGACCTCTTGAAAGGTTGCTCAATGGCTGATGTTTCTTCTTCTTTGTTTCATCTCTTACTAGCTTTGCTTTTGTTAAGTACTTAATCACACTGTTAAGGTCATCATGTCTGATTAAGGTACTTTGAAGGGATTATAATGAAAAGGAATGTAAATTTAGGTTTTACATATTTTATTGTGGGGCTGTAAAATGATTACAAAACTAGAGGCCCAGTGTGCAGATTCGTGCACTGGTGGGGTCCCTCGGTGTGGCCTGCAGGGATTGGGCCAAAACGCAGCCACCGCTGCTTGGTAGACTCGCTGCCGCTCTGCTCTGGTCACCGGGCTGTGGCAGCCAGAAGTGAGCCCTGTGTCTGGTACCCGTCAGTCAGCTGAGCAGTGCTCCCGCTGTGGGAGTGCACTGATCACCAGGGGCAGTTCCTATAGATGCCCCTTGTCATTAACTAGATTGTGATTGGCTGCCGTCAGTCATGAGCAGTGCTCCCGCTGTGGGAGTGCACTGATCACCAGGGGCAGTTCCTATAGATGCCCCTTGTCATTAACTAGATTGTGATTGGCTGAGTAAGAGAGCTATATATATAAAAGGCTAATATGCACAGTGTCCCCTCGGGAATTCGACTGGGAGTTTCATCACTTGCTATGATGTGTGCTGACCACCAGGGGGTGGCGCAGAACAAAGGAAGGCCCCGGCTGGCAGCCGGAAGGCCCTGATCTGCCCTGATCGCCAACCAGGTCTAAGGAACCTACCTGTGCACGAATTTCATGCACCAGGCCTCTAGTATTTCAATAAGTGAGAAAGCTGTGAAGCAAATACTCTCTTAGTTTCCTCTGTTAAACTTTAGTGGCATGTTGAAGATACACACATTTATGTGTCACCTTAGCTGCAAAGAATGTATATGTACCTCTGAGCACCAACCTGTGGTGGTTGTGTCTGATGATCTTATGGCCTGTAGGAGAACCAGAGCACTCAAGCTGTTTTTATGGAGTTCCCTGATCTTGTAGGTTCTCTTAATACTAGATCGATTTCCAATATAAATATCTTAGAATAAGTAGATACATGGGTGGGTAGTGAGGTGAATAGGATGGATGGAGGGATGAGCTGAAAGTCTGTTCTTAAGGATCCCATTTTGCCCTAGCCAATTGGGCTCAGTGGATAGAGCGACGGCCTGCGGACTGAAGGGTCCCAGGTTTGAGTCCGGTCAAGGGCATATACCTTAGTTGTGGGCACATCCCCAGTGGGGAGTGTGCAGGAGGCAGCTGATCGATGTTTCTAACTCTCTATCCCTCTCCCTTCCTCTCTGTAAAGAATCAATAAAATATATATTTAAAAAAATAAAAAGGATCCCATTTTGTGTCCTCTACCCAAACGTTTCTTTGGTAAATAGTTTATTTACTGAAACTTAAGTAAACAAGGTGTATCCCAAATATAGCAGGAAATGTATACTGTATAGTATTTTATTGAGTTTTGGAAATAGTGTCACAGTTTCCACGACTTGGTTAATTCAAATGTGTATTGGTGAGTGCATTGAGTTGTCAGACATTGTGTACTAATTGCTAAGGTACTGAAATAAGTAAGATATTTTTCCCATTTTCAGGATAATTTAAAACAAGACTATTTTACCTGGGTTTATCTTATTTTCTCCCTGTTTGGGGATTCTCTTCTCTTCCTACTATTGCAAGGAAATTGAGAAAGAGAGATGCTCAAATTATACTGAACAAGTGAGGTTTAAATATCCTGGGTAACAAAAGTGACACATCAGAGAAATATCAGAGAAAATCTTGGTTAACAAGGTTTTCTTGGTTGATTCCTCTAGTTAGTAGCTTTTGTCCTGTAGATTTCCTTATATAAGCTCTATCTCCTCTTATTAAGTGCTTGAATACTTTTTTCCTGTTATTGAAGTCATAACATAAGAGGTTATTACCAATATCTTTATCAGGCAGTGCATGGACATTGACTTGAAGGTGATGTGTTTTTTAATATATTTTATTGATTTTTTACAGAGAGGAAGGGAGAGGGATAGAGAGTTAGAAACATCGATCAGCTGCCTCCTGCACACCTCCTATTGGGGATGTGCCTGCAGCCAAGGTACATGCCCTTGACCGGAATCAAACCTGGGACCCTTGAGTCCACAGGCCAATGCTCTGTCCACTGAGCCAAACCGGTTAGGGTGAAGGTGATGTGTTTTTAAGATCTTGGGTTGCTCTCCCATCTGAATTTTCAGACCATCACAGGGCTTTTGAAAAATCTTGAAAAATACTGCTATTCACTTCCTTTCACTAGGACTAACTTAGCCTCGGCTTGGAAGTCGATCTTACTGGGATAAAATAAATAATAGTATAGGACTAGAAAGCTGGCTGGTATGTGCTAATTTATATTTGGCATATCTGAGTTTCTCATTTATTGACTGTCATCTTAGAGACTGGGTTAATAGCTGGTTTTTTATTTGTGTACTAGAGGCCCTGTGCACGAAATTCATGCACGGAGCAGGGGTTCCCTCAGCCCAGCCTGCACCCACTCCAACTGGGGACCCCTCGGGGAATGTCTGACTGCTGGTGGTCGGTTGGACACCCCTCTCACAATCTGGGACCACTGGCTCCTAACCACTCACCTGCCTGCCTGCCTGATCCCTCCTAACTGCCTCTGCCTGCCTGCCTGATCCCCCCTAATTGCCCTCCCCTGCCAGCCTGATCTTGTCCCTAACAGCTGTCCCCTGTTGGCCTGATTGCCCCCAACTGCCCTTCCCTGCTTGTCTCTGGGCATATCAACGGGGCCTGATCAGAAAGGTGGAGCTGATCAGCAGCCCCATGGAGGCCTAGAGAGAAATGGAGGCACGAGTGTTGGCCAGGCTGAGAGAGAAAGAGTGGCAAGTTCTGATCAGTGGCTGCCACAGAGACTATGGATCAGACCCTGCCTCTCTCTGTAGGCCTCTCTCCGAACCTGATCCACAGCCCCCTAGGCAGTCAGTGCCTTAGCGACCCAGCACTGACTTCCAGTCTGGTTGAGCCTTGGGTCAAAATCGGTGGTTATGACCCTGGCTCTTTATTATATAGATTATCCAGCTAATACACATGAATTGATTGGTCTTTCATGGCCAAATATGCCACTAAGACCACACAGCTGGATATGGGATCTTAGAGCTGAGCTTCATTTACTCCCAGCTATTTAAATTTTTCTGCTGATGAGATTTCTGAAATTACTACAGCCATTGTGAGACTAGTTCAGTTGTAAGCACACAAAAATACAAAAATAGATATTGATAGGTAATGTTGACAGCAGATTTCAGGGCAGGGAGCTGGATAAGCTCATGAAAGGAGGGAGAGATCGGAGACTGAGACTGGTACTTCTTGGGGGTTTATGACTAATTTCTGGGCTGTGATATATCCTATTTTCATCTATGACTATAGCAACTAATCTTGGGATCAACCTTTACCTTGTCTCCATTCATGTGATCCTAATTCTCCATGGGTTCTGCCTTTCCCTTCAATGATGTCATCTATTGAAATGATGCCCAAATACCTTTTCGCATCCTGGTAGCAAGACTGACTGTAGTATAATAAAAAATATTTAGTCTTTGTCTTTGGTTCCTGGCACAGCTCCTAAAACCCTTGCAATCCCTGGAATGGTAAAAGTGTCAATTTGAGATGACTGGTGGCTGGGAACTCCTGAATAGCTTCAGTATAGGAGCTGGTCATCAGAAAGATTAAGCCATGATTAGATGACTGGAATTCGTATACACCCACCCACCCTCCCCCTTCTAACCCTCTCCTGAAGAAGGGGATTGGAAATTGAATTCACTCACCAGCGGTCAATGATTTAATCAGTCGTGACTGGCCCCCGAAGTGAGGACAGTCTTGTGGGACTGAGCCCTTAAACCTGTGGAGACTGTAACTACAGGTAATTTCAGAGTTAAAAGAATTATAGGTCACTCAGTTAGTTGGAGAGGAAGAATTGGTGTGGAAAAACACCATGTATTTGGTGTCAGTAGGAAAAAAATCCTCCTCCCACTGATTATATCAGAATACTTAGAAACTTCTTTAAAATACTCCTGACCCTTGTTCCTGCTAAAGATTGTCAGTTAAAAGATTTAAGAATCTTACAAACATTTACCAGGTGATTCTGACAGTGGCCTGGTTTGGAAACATAGATAATACTTTTTTAAGATCCCAAGGCTGGTGAATAAAAAGAAAGGAAAAGATCCCACAGAACTGTCTCAAATTTCCAGTGTAAATGACAGGGACTTGCTGAGCCACTTTGGCTCACCTATGAGAGACATTTCTTATATGTAACTTTAGTTTTGAATACTAAATTTTTTTTCCTCTAAAAGGATGTCAGCCCATGTCATTTTTTTTTTAAGTCCTGGAATCAAAATGTTGAAATTTATATCTTAATTTCTTAGGATCTTAAGATTGAAAGTGATGTTCAAGAACCAGCTGAACCAGAGGATGACCTTGACATTATGCTTGGCAATAAAAAGAAGAAAAAGAAAAATGTCAAATTCCCAGATGAGGATGAAATTCTAGAGAAAGACGAAGGTAATACTGGGTGCTCGTTACTTGGGTCTTTGGCCTAATCTTTTTGATAGGTGGGCTCCTCTTTTATTTTTTCTTGACCCTTATTTCCACTTGATTATGGAAGCTAAAAGGAAAACAATATCTGACTTGATGACAGTTAAAGATTTCATGGGGGTAGAATTTGACAGTTAAAATTTTACTAAATCATGCAGCTTCAGGTGATTGGGAAAATTACATAACTGGATTTTAAATGTTACAAAATTTTCATTTGGTTAAAAAGTGCTGTTTTATTAGTTTCTAAGTGCCATGGGTTTTTTAAAGAACTTTAGTTAGCAGATGGGTTTTTATGGATGTGAATGTTTCTTAAGTGCCTAAACAGTTGGATGTTTTTTCTAATTATCCCAGTGCATTATTTTATCTTGTGTTTGTTAAATCAAGAAACAGTTAGGTGTGTCTGTGTTATCACAAATTCTTAATTAGAGAGATCTCTATTAAGGGTTGTTTATGAAAGTCCCTGTTTTTAAGGAATGAGAGGTTATTTGTGAAACTTAATGCCTTTATGCTTGAGGCTGTGGTGAATGTAGTTCTGGGAGGGAAGACAAATGTCTTTGATACTTTCATTTCTCTAGATCTGCCTCTACCCCTCATTCTTAGTCTTTGTTATCTGTAGCTTTAGAAGATGAAGACAGCAAAAAAGATGATGGTATCTCATTCAGTAACCAGACAGGCCCTGCTTGGGCAGGCTCAGAAAGAGACTACACGTATGAGGAGGTAAGACAGATTCTGTTACGGAAAGGCGCTAAGCTAGTCACTAGAACTCAGAGAAAAGCAAGGTAAATGCTCCCTGAATTGGTAGGGCCATTGAACTCCAAATTGTTAGTGAAGCAGACTCAGAGAGGTCACATAGCCAGTGCACAGCATTGCCTGCTGCCCTCATACGGGACAGTCGGTGTGGCAGTCATTATAGTACTCACGGTTCCCATCTGAATCTGTGAACTTAGGACATGGAGATAGAGCCCCTGGAATGGGAGCGGGGAGCAGTGGAGAGAGGAATTGGCTAGTTTGGGGTCAGGATAGCATGGAGTTTGCTTATTTGGGCTTTCCTGAATCTTATTCTGATTATATCATATACTTTCCCATAGAAACAGCAGAGTTAGAAGGGGTTTATTCGTTCATTAACTTCAAACAAGGAATTGCTGAGCATTCATAATGGACCAGATCCTGGTTGAGACTTGAGTCCTGCTCTCAAGCAGCTCCCAGAACATAGAGTGATGTGTGTATTTAATAAAAAGTGAAGTTTGCTTAAAGGTAGAGCAAAGATTCCAGTATACTGCTATTAATAAGAATGTACATGAATACCACTTTATCTCTATAGCTACTGAATCGAGTGTTCAACATCATGAGGGAAAAGAATCCAGATATGGTTGCTGGAGAGAAAAGGAAATTTGTCATGAAACCTCCACAGGTCGTCCGAGTAGGAACCAAGAAAACTTCTTTTGTCAACTTTACAGATATCTGTAAACTGTAAGTTCATTAATGGAGAATCTCCATTCCAAATACCAAATTTTCAGTGATGTTTATGTTAAAGGTCCTTATTGAGGACGTCATTGCAGGTAGAAAGTTGGGTTGAGGAAAGTCAGAGTTCAAATATATCAGTTCTTTGTTACTTACAGGTCTCAGGGCTTGTATTATCAGACATCCAGAGGTGAGAGATGCCAACTCATGCTGATGCATGAGAATGGATCCAGATGGAGTGAAGAGTGTGGAGGCTACATGTATTCCTCAGACAGGAGCTTGGCCGACCCAGGGAAGGTAGAAAAGCTTTTAAGGCTGGGGTGGCTTTGCCAAGCAAGTGAGCTCAGGAAAACAGCTAAATTTGTTGTGCCTCTTCCTCGGGTGGTCATTGTCAAGACACAGCTTTTTTAATTACCATCACATTCCATGCCTCTCACCACCAGGTCACTCACTGTCTGGGCCTGGCTCTTCTTAGTGCCTCAGCTACACCATTTTTGGCTGGTTCCTTAGGGCAACTGACCTTATTTACTGATTGTTCTTCAATTTCATAAGTGATACCTGCTTGTTGCAGATAAAACGGTAAATAATAGTAAACAAAAAAGAAAATAATCACTAAAAATTCCATCACCCAGAGATAACCACTTGTTTTTGTGTGTGTGTGTGTGTGTGTGTTTTAATATTTTTATTGATTTCAGAGGATGGGAGAGAGAAATAGAATCATCAATGATGAGAGAATCATTGATCAGCTGGCTGCTTCCTGCATGCCCCCTACTGGGGATTGAGCCCACAACCCAGGCATGTGCCCTGACTGGGAATTGAATCGTGACTTCCTGGTTCATAGGTTGACGCTCAACCACTGAGCCACATGGGCTGGGCTGTTCCCCCTTTTTTTTTTAAATGAAAATTTTCAAACAGGAAGTATATAGGGATTAGCATAAAGAATAGCCAAGTATCCTATTGCCTAGGTTTGGTGTATTTGACCTTTTGACACAGTTACTTCATATCTTTTTACTCTTCAAAAGAGCGTTTTACAGTTATAATTAAAGCCATTTTTTGTATCTCTTTCATCTTCCTTCCCAGAAAAAGATGTTACTTTCTAAAGTTGTTTACCTTTTCTGTCCATGTTTCTAGACATTTACTCATAGGTATGTACAGTATTTATAAATAACTTGCAATATTATTTTATGGTCTTTAAAATGTATTACATATCTTTTATTTCAGAGTTTCATGAACTGTGCACTGAAGTTCACCTAATAGCAGAGTAGTCACAAATTGAAACAGTGAACAAGTTGGTTTTTAGAAGTTTGGTTAGTTTTCCATGGAGGATAGTTTATATATTCTACTTTCTTTTTAGATTACATCGTCAGCCCAAACATCTCCTCGCATTTTTATTGGCTGAATTGGGTACAAGGTAAGAAACTATATTTGCATACATATGTATATATAGTTACATACAGAATTACTGGACATCTCCTAAGAGCTTTTCTTAATCTGAAAAGGATATGTAACACACTTAGAAAAAAAAATTCACTGCCCTGGCCAGGTGACTTGGTTGGTTAGAGCATCGTCGTCCAAAAGGTTACAAGTTTGGTTGGGGTGCGTATAGGAGGCAATGGATCCAACTCTCTCTTCTCGCAAATAAACTAAAAAACAAAACAGGATAAAAAAAAAAATTCACCTGATTATCAGAGGAACTTCTGGGCCACTGAAAGAGGGAAGTCAACTCATTTCAGTGGGAGAGCTTGGCTGCCTGGAAATAGAGAACAGAATTAACAGTGACTCATCTAAACAGGCCTGTTGGCATACCAAAATGAGAATCATGGCACTGCTGTGTTTAGAGTTTCCTGTCATTAACTGGATTCTTAGATCTTTATGGAGCAAATATTAGATTTCAAAGGAAATTATTTTCTTAGGTCAGTATTATTTCTAAATTGTTAATAGGCTATTGATGAAATACAGCTTACAAATTGATGAGTGGCACAGGAGAAATGTTGAAACAGGGATCCATAGTTAGTTACTTCCTTAAGAGCTCACCTGTTGAAGTCACCAAGCCAGTCCATCCCCATTCAGGGGGGCCAAGATCCCATTTGAATTGACCTTTAAGTGCTAGGAAGCTAATTGTCCCTTTAAAAGTAGATTCAGGGCATAATAATGATGAATAACACATATTGAGCATCTTGGGTACCATTTCAGTCTTAAAACAGCTGCATGAACTGTTAGTGGAAACTAATATTAGCTGTCTTAAAGATTTAGAAACCATTTTAGTGAAGTTGTAGTTGGTCATATAACTACTTAACGGCACAGTCAACAATGCAGACTCAGATCTGCCTGTTTCTCGGGAGCTTGAGCTCTTTTAACCCCTTCCCCGGCAGAAACGTGTATACTCGTTTTCACAAAATGTTCTTTTTCAGTTGTAGACGAGTATACTAAGAAAATATGGTAAAAAAAATATGGTTTATAGGAAGACGAGTTACAAACTGTTTTCATAACCAGCATCAAAAATACTATATAGAACCAAAATAAAAAAATTAGTCTGAAAAAGAAACGTTTTTAACAAAAAAATTGTTGGGGAAGGGGTTAAAAGACTTAATCCTGTGCCTTGCTGGCAGTATAGAGATAACTCACGTGTTCTGCTCTCTTCCTTTTCTTGAAACTCTGCTGGGATTGGCTACACTTGCTGTGGGTTTATGGAGTAATTTACTTGACTAGTGGTAGATACGTAGGTTCTGCTGTAAAAGAATTATGTTTTAAATGTAAATTATAGTCGTTGCTTTTTTTTTAAGGCCACCAAAAATGTTGGTTGCCCCCCCCCAAAATGGGGAGAGATCATCGCTTATTTTTAACTTGCATAAATTAATGAAGGAGTAAAAGTTAGCAGTATTTTCCCTACTTCTCAGAATAATTTTTTAAGAAGTGGGATAAATTATAACAAGTTGAGAACCAGTGAACTTAAGGTCAGTGGACTTAATATAGGGTTGAAAAAAGTCAATTTCTTTTGACAGTGAATGAAAAAACATTCCCTACATCAAGTATTAGAATTCACCATAGCCTGGAGATTAAGGGTCCCAGTCCATGGGGGATAATAGTAAACCTTTATAGTTAAAGGAGAATCACAAGAGAGATTCCTGTAAAAGTCATTTTTTAAAAATCTTTTTATTGATTTTTAGAGAGGAAGGGAGGTGAGGGGAAAGAAACATCAATGAGAGTGAAATACTGATCAGCTGCCTCCTGCATGCCCCCCACTGGCGATGGAGCCTGTAACCCTGCCATGTGCCTTGACCAGGAATCAACTGGTGACCTCTCTGTGCACGGGACGACGCTCAACCAACTGAGCCACACTGGCCAGGGTGCAAAGTGATTTTTATAGTGGAATGTTGAAATTTAGCACGACCTGGCTGAATTTTGTTGTTTCACTTTGTGATTTGTAATTTTTAACAAATGTCTAGCCTAGAGCTTTCTCTCTCAAAGTGCTTGTCATCTGCTTCTTTTGAAAAAGTTTCTTTTAAAAAAAATACATATTTTTTTATTTCAGAGAGAGGAAAGGGAGAGCTAGAAACATCAATGATAAGAATCATTGATCTGCTGTCTCCTGCACACCCCCCACAGGGGATTGAGCCTGAAACCCAGGCATGTGCCCCGACCGGGAATTGAACCATGACTAGTTCATGGGTCTACGGTCAACCACTGAGCCACATCAGCCGGGCTCAAAACTTTTCTAAGTACCATTGACAATATATGGCCTGTGACTTCAACCGTACTTGAGGGGTAGAGGGGTTAACAGTTTTATAGAGATATATTTCACACATTTAAATGTACAATTCAACCCAGTTGGTGTGGCTCAGTGGTAGAGCATTGAGCTATGAATTGGGGGGTCAGGGTTCTCTTCCGGGTCAGGGCATATGCCCTGGTTGTGGTTGCAATCAATCCCCACAGTAGGAGGTGTGCAGGAGGCAGTTGATTGAGGATTCTCTTTCATCATTGATGTTTCTCTCCCTCTCTGAAATCAACAAAAATATATTAAAAAATAAAAATGTACAATTCAATGTTAACATAATTAATTGAACTCTTACCACAATTGGTTTTAGAATATTTTCATCAACTATATATGATAATCAAAATATGTATTTAGTGCTTAGAATTTTTAAAGATAGGTCTTACTTTGAACATGGTATGCATTCAGTAAAAGTGTTTTACCTTGTTGGATGAATGAGCCATCACACAGTTAAGGAATCAATTTGTGTTTAGACTTAAAATCAATTATAAATTTGATTTGTTGCTGAAGACTTAATTGATTGAAATTGGATTAAGTGTTAAGAAATGTAGATATTTCATCTGGTACCAACTACTTAATTAAAAACAATTTTTGAGAAACCAGGTAGTATAGTACTACTTCTAGAATTTAACTTATGCCATGGAATATATTCTAAATTCATTGAATGTAAAGATCCTGGCATTTGGTTCCCTATAGGAAAAAGCAATAATGGAGATATTTGTTTTCTTTCATAGTGGTTCTATAGATGGTAATAACCAACTTGTAATCAAAGGAAGATTCCAACAGAAACAGATAGAAAATGTTTTGAGAAGATATATCAGTAAGTGCATGATTTAATCTCAGTACATCACTCTGAAATGTTCTCATCAGGTTGTATTATTTTGGGGAGAGTCATTGGTTTGTAATGGAGCTGGAAAGGCTGGCCTTAAAGGATGAGGTAAAATGATAGTGATGGGGAAGGGAGCAGGGAGGTGGCTCTTGGCCACTGATTGGGGGTGCAGGGAGAAGGCCCAGCCAATCAAGGCTGCTGGTTGGTTCCAGGCTGAAGGCCAACCCAGAGAAACCCGTCTGCGTTCAAGGCCTGATCTGCATTTATCTCCTTCATCACTTAAAATTGATAGGTCTCTTCCCACCTACCTAGGAACACTGTAAGGTCTTTCTTAGTGGCTCTCCTGCAGGAAAACCACGAGTAGGCATCTGGCAAGCGTTCCTGCTTCCTTGGACATTTGGAGTATTTTTTTTCAACCCATGGTTTAGTACCTGAAGCATTGCAGCAGACGGCTTTTGTTTTCTTACCCTGGAATAGTTTAGGGATAAACTTACAAATAAGTTGAGCTAAGCTCCTTGGTCTGGGTGCCACCCTGGGCTTGTGGAGTTCAGTGTAGAAGTGTTTTTAGAGGAAAGAAACCAGAGGCCACCAGTTAATTCTGTATGTTGCTTTTCCTGCAGAGGAATATGTCACCTGTCACACATGCCGATCACCTGACACAATCCTGCAAAAGGACACCCGACTCTATTTCTTACAGTGTGAAACTTGTCATTCTCGATGCTCTGTTGCCAGCATCAAAACCGGCTTCCAGGCTGTCACGGGCAAGCGAGCACAGCTCCGTGCCAAAGCTAACTAATTTGCTGATCACCACTGATTTGGCAAAGTGTGTTGTGGAAATTTGGCTGGACAGGTTTACCATCAGAGTGGATATACCATTGTATTAAAAAACAAGATAGAAAAGCTGCCAAGCTCTTTGGTGTGTGGCTGGTTGGTCTGAAATCCTTGCAAGATGCCGATGCTCAAGCTGTTGACATAATCATTGCCCACATTAACAACTGTCAGAGAAACAAGATGGGGTAAGGTGGTGCTTTTTAAAAATCGTTCACAGACTTCTGTAAAATGCAAGAGAAATTAAAGTTATTATAACAGTGATTCTTTCAATTTGGTTTGTCCTTCAGTTTTCTAAAAAAATTGTGCTTAATGAATTCAGCAGAACAGTTTGGGCCTGGGATCTGGTGAGGTTTCTGCATCTTTATCCTAAAAACTGGACACTGGCAGTGACTTCAGCTGGGCAGCCGTTTTCCTCTCAGCTTCTTCTGAGATGCATAAAGTAGACACAGCATCCCACGAGAGGGTGGTTGGAGCATGAGATTTGGGAGGACAGCCTATTTTTAGTGTCCAGGAATGACTACATAGATAGGAATTCATTTCATTATGTGAGGATTGTTGCTACTACCTCACTGCCAAGTTCTCTAGCTGTCACCATGAGGGAATACAAGGTGCTAGGTACCCTCCCTCCTTTGAATTTTCTTATTGGCCACCAAGAGAATCTTAGAAATGGCTGTGAAGTGTGTCTCATAAGAGATATGGTGTGTGCAGTACAAAAAAAAACAGTCTAAACCATGATACTAGAGGAAGTTTTTCTTTTTCTTCCACAACTTGTGTTCCAGGTTTGAAAAGACCCACCACAAATGCTTTTCTATTTTCTGTATTAAAGTATCTTTTGAAAGAGGTGATGCTGCCTGTGTGTGGTGCTTCTGGTGCCTCCAGTTCTGCCTTCTGAGGATTTGGCTAAAAGGGTATTTCTCCATTGAGCATGAGGGAAAGATCATCTTATGTGTCTGCTGTGGTTGCCTTGCACGCACTTGCCAAGGATGAGGGCATAATGTTGCTCCTACTTTCTTGGTGCAAGACTAATCCTAAGCAGCTCAGAAGCAGCCAGTCACTTGGCCCTGAATGTCTTGACCATGGTTGTTTTTAATCACTGTGACCCTTAATTTTAAAGTACAAGCCAAGTGTTATAATAAAACACTTTGGCCATAAAGTGTTGGAAGGAGCAGAGCATTCCTTCAAACTGGCTGAGCTGTGGCCACTGCCCTGATGAACTCAACTGCTGTTTATAATGCCATCTTCCTTTTGTATCTGCCCACACAATTCCCAATGTTGGATGTTACTGAGTGAATAAAGCAAGGATCAGTGCCTCTTGTGTAATTAGCGCTCTATTACTTTTGTGTGTATATGTTTTCATTTAGTGGGACCCCTCAGGGGAAGACATGGGACTTTACAGTTTGGTGATAGGTTGGCATAGTTATGTTGAAAATTTCAGTGCATCTTTAATTTCACTCTCAAAACAGATTCATCTCTGAACTGATCCTGACCCTTTAAGATAGTCCAGTTCCCCCAACTAAGTGTTGTGCATAAAAAATGCTGGGCTGGACAGCCTGGACGAAGTGCTACCATGGTGTGAGTCAGTGGTCGGCAAACTGCAGCTGGCAAGCCACATGCGGCTCTTTGGTCCCTTGAGTGGCTCTTCCACAAAATGCGATTGAAACTTCATGGCCCGTGCGCAAAAGTCGGTATTTTGTGGAAGAGCCACACTCGGGGCCAAAGAGCCGCATGTGGCTCATGAGCCGCAGTTTGCTGACCACAGCTGTAACCTGGCCTCCCTTATCCACATCTTTTGTCCTGGCGATATAAAGGTCTCATATTTTAGATTTTATAATATGTTTTTAGAAGTTGGGCCTTGGTGTTCCTTTTTTAATTGAGAAGATGAACAAAAGTCTGCAGTGAGTCCCCCTCTGCCATTGATTATATCCTGTATTCTCATAGGTTGTGTCACAATAATCCTAATAAACCTTGCCATCCTTGCCAATAAAGACTTCAAATTCTCCCAAGGATTACAGTAGAGGCATAGTCCTTGGAGCTTTGTCACATTGATGGTGGTGTTCTTAAAAATACATGTTTTTTATTGTTTCAGAGAGGGAGATAGAAACATCCTATATAATAAAGTGGTAATATGCAAATTAGCCATCACACCATCACAGGATGGCTGTGCCCACAGCAGAGGCAGGGTTCCCATAACGAGAGATCAGCAGGGACCTGAGGCTGTGCCCCTCCACCCCCACAGCGGGGCTTGACGGGGGACCTGAGGCTGCGCCCCATGCCTAGTGGTGCTTGACGGGGGTTCCCCCCCCCCCCGCTGCCCAGCAGGGCTTGATGGGCGTGGGGCTGGCCAGGACTGGATCTCATCCAATGGGGGTGGGGCCGGCTGGGTCTGGGTCTTGCGCGATTTCGAGGTGTGTGTGGGTGGGGGGAACTTGATTCGGGGTCCCGTGGCACACCCCAGACTCTGACAGGAGGAAGATTTTCATATACATTATACTAATTTTCTTTTATCTCTGACATTTCTATTCTAGAAAAAGGGCAAATAGCAATATTAAAATATTTCCTCTAATTCCCATTTATTGTGCACAAATTTCGTGCACCAGGCCACTAGTTAATGGTAATAGAGAATCACTGATCGGCTGCCTCCTGCACACCCCTTATGGGGGATCAAGCCTGCAACTGGGCATGTGCCCTAATCAGGAATCGAACCATGATCTGGATCATACATAGGTTGATGCTCTGAGCCACACTGGACAGCAAGAAGGAGCCTTATTGTTAAAAGAGACTGGAGGGTGGGGAAGAAATGGGGTCCAGGTCAGAAAGTGAGAAAGGGTAACCCTATCAGTTTCTGTTCTGTGAATCTGAAAAAGCCACACCCACGCACTTGCCCAAAGACCCAGCTGCTGCACCTTTGTGGAAGTGCACTGAGGCGGAGGTGCAGGGAGGGGTATGTGTGGACCAGGAGCCCACTCACCAGTCAGAGAAAAGAGGTGTCCATCCACACAGGCAGGAGGGCCAGCTGGATTTGTCCCACGGGCCTAGACCAGATCAACACACTGCTTAACTGCAATGACAGACATCGGAACACCAACAAAAGGCCTATGATTACCTCTTCCTTTGCCTCATTTTAAATATTGTATTGCCTCTCTCTTTTTAAGTTGCCTGAAATACATTTGGGGACAAGGTGAGGATAAAGTAAGTAGGAGAGTATGGTTATTTTTTAAGAGAAAAACTACCTGAATTTGATTAGGTAAAGATAAGTATTCTCATTAAGTATTGTTATACAAGGATGCGTTCTTTTTGTTTTTTGTTAATCCTCACCCAAGGATATTTTTCTACTGATCTTTTAGAGAGAGTGGAAGAGGGAAAGACAGAGAAACACATCAATTGGTTGCCTCCTGCATGCACCCTGACCAGAGCTCGGGCGGGCGAGGAGCTTGCAAGTATGTGCCCTTGACTGGAATTGAACCCAGAACCCTTTGGCCACAGTCCAATGCTCTATCCAGTAAGCCAAACTGGCTAGGGCAAGGATGTGTTCTTTTTCAAATGAAGATGAAGTTCAGAGAGCTTAAGTTACTTGCCTAAGGTCACACAACTAAATAGGAACTCAGTTCAATAGTCTGTACTCTGAACCAAATCCCCCTCAAGTAGAGCAAGCAAGCTATAACCTCTTTGTGTCTCTGTTCTATTGATAAGTGACAAATCACTCCAAAACTTAGTGGCTTACAACAACAACAATTAAATTATCCCTGTGGTGCTAGGCTTTGACTGGGGTCTGGGAGATCTCAGTTCTTTTTTTTTTTTTTTTTTTTAATATATTTTATTGAACTTTCACAGAGAGGAAGCGAGAGAGACAGAGAGCCAGAAACATCGATGAGAGAAACATCGATCAGCTGCCCCCTGCACATCCCCCACTGGGGATGTGCCCGCAACCCAAGCACATGCCCTTGACTGGAATCGAACCCGGGACCCCTCAGTCCGCAGGCCGACGCTCTATCCACTGAGCCAAACCGGTTTCAGATCAGTTCTTTTTTTATATATATTTTATTAATCCTCACCCGAGGATATTTTTCCATTAATTTTTAGGGAGAGTAGAAGAGAGAGGGAAAGACAGAAACACTGATGTGAAAGAAACACATAGATTGGTTGCCTCCCGCACACACATACTCTCCCCCCATCCCCAGGTCTAAGGTATGTGGCCTTGACCAGAATCGAACCCGGGACCCTCTGGGCCGCAAGCTGGCCCTCTATCCGCTGAGCCAAACCAGCTAGGGCTGGGAGGCAGTTCTTACTCAGTTTTCAGTCAGACAGTGGCTGGGCTGGAGTCATCTCAAAGGCTTCCTCACTAATGTCTGACGGCCTCTCTCTCCATGTGACCTGGGCTTCATAGCATGGTGGCTGGGTCCCGAGACACACTGCTAGGTGCATACTGCTAGGAGACTGGGATAGCATTACCATCACTGTATCGATCAGTCACCGTCCAGATGAAAGGGAGAGGATATAGAACAGGGGTGGGCAAACTTTTTGATTCGAGGGCCACAATGGGTTCTTAAACTGAACCGGAGGGCGGGAACAAAAGCATGGATGGAGTGTTTGTGTGAACTAATAAAAATTCAAAGTAAACATCATTACATAAAAGGGTATGGTCTTTTTTTTTTTTTTTTTAGTTTTATTCATTTCAAACGGGCTGGATCCGGTCCGCTGGCCGTAGTTTGCCCACGGCTGATATAGACACTACTTGTCAATGGGGCCATGCTTAAAACTAGATTTTACATTATAAAATCTATAAAATGGGCATCTACACAATGAAGACATTATTTCTGTCAGCCCAAGCCTCCCTTTTTCCACTCATATTTCTCTTTTGGGGATTCCCTTTCCACCCGCTCATGCCCTGGACTTTTCAATTTGTGAAACTAAACTTCTTCCTAAGGAGGTTGAGTTCAGTTTCTATAACTTGTAACCAAAAGTTCACACTACATCCACTTAAAGGTGGTTGTGGAGATTAAATAGGTGTAAAAAGTGCCTTTTACACAGCAGATATTCAGGAAATGGTTTACTGTCACTATGGAATAATTTTATCATGAAGAATGTGGCTATAGGTGAAGGACTTACGACTTACTCAAAGTTAATGTCCCAACTGTGATTCAAACCCAGGATAACTGGCTCAGAAGCTTTGGCCATGCTCCTGTATTTCTGTGGTCTCTATGACCCGGCGAGGGTTGGCTAATACTCAACACATACCCACATTTCAACTCCTGTCAATATAAAAAAACTAAACTGCCATGTTACTATTTCCTAATAGTCTAAAAACTGCTCTAAATCCTCAAGAAGTACTCTAGCAGCTACTAATATTTTGAAGCAGCAAGTGAAATGAGACCTAAGATAGATTAAAAACAAATTATGGCCGTATTTTTGAAGCTCTTCAAATTGAGGAATTTGGGCTTAACCACATGCCTTGCTTTGGCCAATGGAACCTTACCAACATGACACAAGCTTGAAGAGCACTTGCGTATTGGGGCTTACTCTTCCTAGACGCTGGGAACGTGTGACCAGTTGCCCCTGTTGCCCAGCCGAGTGAGGTTTATCTGGCACCAACCAGCCCCCTGGCGATCTGCCAGATCACTTCACCCACACGAGAGCTCAGGTAAAGTAGACCCACCCAGTTGAGCACAATGCAAATTGCTAAGCCACAGAATCAGAAGCTAGTAAATGTTAATGGAAAGGTACTAAATTTCAGGGTAGTTGTTATACTATAGTTAATAACTGATATAGGCCCATACTATCCCTGATGTAGGCCAACCCCTCATACAGATGAGGAAACAGACCTGGCAAGGAAAGCCTTGCCTAGGGTCACAATCCAGTAAACCCACTGGCTGTGATACTCCTTCAAGATGGCTGCTAGAATCACAAATGAGGTTTCAGATCTTAAAAACATCTAGAGATACCGGTCCTTTGGGCACAATCTGGTATCACATTTCTTCACCATCTCTTTTCGGTTTTTCAGAGGTTAAGACAGAAAATTGAAAACTGTTGAGCATGGAATGGGAGATGACTTTCCTGACCCCAGATACGGGGAGGGCAGGCATATTTATGCAGAGTTTTATGGTTATGAACCTCCCGCTTAAGGATACAACTGTAACCGTTCCTTGGAATGCCAGGACAGGGATCCCATTCTCTGTCTAGGGTATGTTCTGGTGCCAAGGTGATTAGGCAGGGCCTCTGGGTAGATGAGATGTTTCCTGCTCTTCTCATGGTTCTCTTTGCCTGACATACTACGGAAACCCAGAGCCCCTGCTGTTCTAGCTGTCCCCCAAGCTCTGAAAAGTATCTCAGCCAAGTAGAGCCTTGTAGAGTATGGGAATGTTATTACTGTGCAATGGGCATATAGCTCTAGGCTCTGGGAACAAAGTAATACAGTGCCAGCCCTCAGTGTGAGGTTCACCAGGCTCCAAAACCCCTACTTAGACTTTGCCCAAGCTCCATTACAGAGCAGTAGTCCCCCATCTTGTACAGGTGGGGACACAAGCATCTGCCCAGGTATGCAAGCAGGTCTGCTAGATCTGGGCTCTGGCCTTCTGGTCAGTAAGGGAAGATTGTGGGTTCAAGGATGGTAGAGGTGTGTTTCACTGAGGGCTTTTCAGGGGGAAAAAGACATTCCCTGTGGACCTAGTACCTTCCTCAGGACACCTTCCTCATCTCTCCAAACTGAAGTCTTTTGTTTTGACCAGCTGGGCAAGGGCCCATCCCAGTTCCAAGGGGCTATTTTTCACCCCAGGTCTGGATCTCTGAAATTTCCCAGAAGTGAGGACTAGGATAGCAGCTTAATAATGAGTGGATACTTCCCAGGTAGAAAAAGTAGGAGCAAGAGTATGTGCCAGGCTCGGAGCAAAGTATGTTTATGAGTGCCTGCCCACCCACAGCCCTAAACCAATGAGACCAGCCTAAGTGTCCACACATGAATCCCCGCTTCACTGGACCAGGGGAGATATCTGTAATCTATGATTAACTCAAAATATACTGCTGTGGCAGTTAATTCTCTATTGGGAATTTGAATGTGGAGAAATTGGACAATTTATGGGGAATATAGGGAAGGGGAGGGAGGAGAAGTTAACACAGAAGTGGAGTTTGAAGGAACCTGTCCTGTTAAAGAACAGAGATAAGTGCAGACAGGCCACATGTATCCTAATGCCAAACTCCTACTGTGTGAGGTAACAGGAGTGGGGCTCTATTTTTTGCTGCTGGTAAGTGTGAAGGACTTGTTTTGTGTGGTTGCAGTCTAAGCTTTATGTGTGTGGTGTCAAAAGAACAGGAGAAACCAGGATCATGTACCCCATATTCAGGAGCTGGCATTTTGTCTAGATGGTGAGAAGCTAGTCAGAAAGGGTTTCATACAGAGAGGGGATATAATTCAGAAATAACACGGTGGTGGCCAATGAGAAATGGGGCAGGGAGAAGCTGGAGACAGGGAGGCTGGTAAGGACAAAGTCCCAAGTGAATAAAAACTAGTGTCTTAAACCAGGACAGAGAAGGGGAAGAAACAGCTCGGATTGCTTTAGAGCTGGGCACAACCAGGCCTAGGAGAAGCTGAGGCCTGAACCTACTGTTGCCTGACCAAGTGGCTCACAATTGGCACTCAGCCACCAAGCTGCTCGCATGGGTACTGGCACATCTGACCCTCCCCAACAACCCTGCTGGCTATTTTTTCTCTGTTTTAGCTGTGGAAATTAAGGCCCAGGTGGATCAATATTATACACCCTAGATCAGCGGTCGCCAACCACAAGTGGTCCGAGGACCACCGGTTGACGACCGCTGCCCTAGACAATGGTCCCTGACAGGTTAGAGTGAAGGGGGTACAGCAGATCCGCTTTCTGGCTGGGCAAGAGGTCCAGGGTACCTTCATGAGAAAATGCAAACCATCCCATCTCAGAGCAAGTTGGGATCCAATCTCTTTATTGTCAGGGTCTCCTCCCTGTGCCTCCCACCCCACCCCTCTCCAAACCTATAGAAAAACCCCAAGCCTGGGAGTGTCCTGGACAGAATGTGGAGAAAACTCTGTGCTCTGCCCTCTGGCCTGGGCAGTGCCAATAGGGAGGGTACGTGGGGAGGAGAGACCGATAACTCCACCTGCAGAGGATGTGGCACTGGCTGGGATGCATGGGGGATGAGGTGCCTGCTGCCAACTCTCGTCTGGGACCTGCTGGGGTGGCATCCAGGGGTGGGTGCCCAGCCTGAGGCCTGGTACAGTGCACGCCCTTCTCCTTCCAATGGCCATCGCTCCTGTCAGACTGAGAAAGAGACAAATAGAGACTAAGGCTGAGAAGAAAAGTCCCTGTGCTCTTCTTGAAAACAGGGGTTGGGAAAAAGCAAGGGTAGCATGGTATTTGCTACTTGCAGATAGACGTATGCCTGTGCTCTGGCTCTGGCCATGTAACTCTGGCCAAGTCTCTTCCCCCTTCCCGAGCCTCCATTTGGCCCCTGCACTTCACCTGTAAACTGGCTTAACAAGGTAAAACTTACTCTCTCTGGTAAAACAAACCATGAAGCTCCAAGAGAAAAAACTGCATGAATGGAATTTTCTAAACTAAACTGTCAGGGAAGCACTTGCTGGTGAAGCATCTCACAGCATGAATGTTCCCTAAGATGCTTCTCTGTTGTTTGAGCTCTTCCTCCATCCAAACCTGTCTAACTCTGAGCACGGCCCCCAAGGAATAGGGCAGAGCGGCAGAGCTAGGTGGTGAACTCTGGCGAGAGTGGGCTTTGAAGCCACACACCACTGGGTTCAAATCTAGGCCCCAACAATCACCACCCTTGAGATCTTAGGAGACATGTGGTTTATTTCCCTGCCCTCCCATTCTGTGCCTCAGTTTCCACATCTATTATAGTATTAGCACAATCACAAGCTGTGTGGCACCTCCGGGCACACAGAGCATTTCCACCTGAGAGGATCAAGTCCCAGACCCTAAGCCTGGCACAACCTCACCCTGATGATGAGCAGCTCTCTCTCCCTACTCTGCAGAGCTGGGACTGCAGCCACAGGAGATCCCTGGGCATTTCCCACACACTGAGGACTACCAGCCTCTGAGCCTCCGCTCAGGGTGTTCCCTCAGATGCTTCTCCCTCAATCCTGAACTGCATATCACCTCTTCCACCACGGCCCTCTTTGACGCCCCCCCCTC